CTTTACCCCATAGTCCTCATTGAGGTGAATACCCATGCCGTAGTCCGCACCTTGCGCGGCTACGGCCCGGTCCGTCCATTGACTGCCTTTTTGGGGCACCGGTGGACGAGAGACAACACCAACACAATGAGTCCGTTTTCCACGGCTCAATTGCCAGTATCACCCGGTCGGTTTCCCGCGCTGCCGAATAGACAGATTCACGGTAAGTCGGAGGCCCACGAACAAAAACCGAGCTCCGTAGAGCCAGGGCCTCCGCCGACGAGAGCCCCCAACCCTCCTTCGGGGATATGGACGCGCCCGGGAAGGCCGGTAGCAGTCGCGTCCACTATCACTCTCAAGGGTGCGCGGGCAGCACATTCACTGTACATGGGCGAGGGAGAGGCGTCCCCTTCGGGGAACACAGCCTCGGCTACTCGTATCCGAGTAGCCGCCTCCATTGGCGACGACGACTCCCACGGCCTGCTTGAAGCTAGGCCTAGATAGGAATATAGGGAAACCCATGGGTTCCTACAGGCTTTACGAACGGGGCCCGATAACGCTATCCCGTTCCACTTTTAAAGGCGTAGCTTAAAGGAATACTACAACGAAATTTCGGCGCTCATTTTGTGGTCTATATGTGTTCAAAAGAGCAGTATCACATGGAACGTACCAATTTCTTGTTAAGAAAGTCTCGAAAAGGAATTTTAAAACGAATTAAACGATTAGCAAAGAGCACCTGGTGGATGTCGCTAACGCCTCGTTTGTAATGCTCGTCTAGGAACCTTGACAGCTAGTGACGGAGGTTGTCTCGTCTCCGGCCACGACGAGAGAAGGGGGGAAGGAGGAACTCCCCTCTTCCCGAGTATCCCTTTTGTGTGTCGCAGAAGTCGCTATTGTCCCCCTAGAAGATTATAGAAGATTAACCCGTCACTCAAAATTCGTACAAAAGCAGCCGCTTCGGTGGCTGGAACGACTAGGCCATCCTCTCGACGTCAGCCTCGCCGTAACTTTGCTCGTCTTGAGACGACCTACGTCACGATTGCGTTGGATGTTACGTGCTCTAAGCTGGGCCTTCTCCGAGCGCTTGCCAGAGTGGGACGTTTATAACGAAAAATACAGCCACCAGGATCAAAATACAAACGTGCGATTGTCATTTACGGATATTGTGGATTATATTCAACCTATTTTTGAACACGACGGGAATATTTCAAATTTCGTTGAAGTATCCCTTTAAACGTTTCCCAACTAAAAAAAAAAAAGAAAAATTATATTTCTGTAATAAATTAATGTGAAAGCCATGCTCTTGGGAGGAGCATTCAACTATGTGTGAACGCCCTAGTAAATGTTTTCCAGAGTTATAAAATTGAGAATCTTCAGGCATGGAAATTGCCGAGATTTCACTATGGTAATTTGCACAGCCACCAATGTCACACCAAAACAGGCACGTAGTTAAACTTTTACAGCGGAGCTATTAAGGGCTAGTTTCTCCAGGATCGTGTCCCCCGCAAAGAAATGTTGACACAAAACTCTGGACAGCTACCGCCATCTATGAGCGACGGCGGCAAACAGACAACCAGTTTACCGGCCACGCTCATAGATGGCGGCAATCTTTCCAGCCTTTCCACTCTGGTTTTCACCAGAGTGAACAGGCTGAATTTCTCTAGTCGTCCTCTTAGATGTCGTCCTAGAAATTGTCCTTGAGTTAGTCCTTGATGTTGTTGGAGAGGTTGTCCTCGAGGTCGTCCTGGAAGTCACCCTAGAGGACGTCCTAGATATTGTCTTCGAGGTCGCCCTTGAGGTCGTCCTAAACGTCGTCCTCTAAACCTCGTCCTTGGGGTTTAGAGGACGAGGTCGTCCTTGAGGTGTCAAATCACGACTTGTCAGATCTTCGCGACGTCGTGTCCTGTTATTTTTGTTTTTTTTTATCTTTCTTGTTAGGGTGTTGTCGAATGAACTCAACTTTTCTTGCGATTTTGTGTTGTGCTGTTCCTAGTTTTTATTTTTTTAATGATTCGTAATCTGTATCTGAAGACTCATATTTTGATATATTTTGCGACGTTTTGCATAACATTGTTTGTTGCTAAATAATTTGTGAACGTGTCTCCAAAACGTGCTTTTTTTACGTGTTTCGTAATTTTGTTGTTTAGAAATATATAATTAACTTGTAATTTTTAATATTTGGTGTGCATATTGTAAATTGTGTATAAAATATTTTTTCTTCAAATTTTACAAATTTTTTAATTAAAACAATTAGGGCGCGCAGTTAAATATATTTTTTATTACTTTTTTTTTTTTTTTTTTTTGATGTGACACTGGAGATGGTGTGCAAGTTACCAAAGGGAAATCTCGGCAATGTCCTCGCCTCGATTTCTCAAATTTTTATTAGGGGCGAAGCTCCTGAGGGTCTAGCCTTGTCCGTCCGGCGTCCGTGCTCACATCGATCTTGCTGAAGTGGGAGGAATGAATGAATGAATATCTGTGGAAAAAATCATGCTACGGCGTACACATATAGCCGAATGTTCCTACCAAGAACATGGCTTTCACACGTATTTCTTACAGAAATATTAGAAATATTACCCGGACAGTCATTGTACGATCTGACCTGGAAACACCCCCCCCCCCCTACCCCTTGAACTTAGATACATTCTGTATTACGCGAAATATTGACTAGAACGAAGCAACATACCTGTAATATCCGTAATTGCGGAAGTGGTGCACCTGTGGATAGTCAACATTCACATGATTCTTCTCTCGTACGTGATCCATAACATCCGTGTTTGCCGTCTCTGTGTATTTGATAACTGTATACATGATGCTTGTTGTTTGTCAGCATGGTGCCCGTAAAAACTATCTGTAGTATGCTACTAAAACGAGGAGCATCCTATTTTTCGTGCGTTCATCAACATCCCAAGTGTGTTTGGGGAACACCCTTAGGGTGTTAGCCCTGGGACAAGCTGATTTACACCCTTAAGGGTGTAAAACGATTTTAGTGCGCAGGAGAGGGCTCACTGGATTCTTGTCCAATGAGCCCTCGCACGACAGCGTCTTTAAGCCTGCTCGCTCGCGACTCTGACTTTCATAACACGCAGAATAGCGCGTGGTTGTATTAAAAAAAAAAAAAATGATTATAATATTAGCAGTCATCAGAACTGGCATTCTAAACCCTGAGGATGTCAATTATGGCATATATCCAAAGTCTAGTAAATCGCGGTACCAAGTCTGTACACACTAAACTTATGATAACCATACGAATGTCTGAGATAGATGTCTGGGCGTTCCTTGCAACATTGCGAAGTGTGCTGATTGTAGAAACAATAACAAAAAACACACACTCATCCTGCATCAAGTAAAACTCGATGCATACGCACGTTCGCCCTATTCTCTCCAGTTGAAAATGTGCAGAGCAAAAACACCCGAGAAAGCGAGTGAAAAAACAAACAAAAAAACAGTGTTATTACAATAAACGCTATAGAGGTTCAGCTTGAGCTAGTGTCTACTAGTCTACGGGACTTCCCGGTGCAAGCTGAAGCAGACACCAAATTGAAAAGACAGACAGAATTGAACCAGGGAATAATAGAAATCAACGCAGTTTCTCTACTCGTATAACGGGTACTATGTAGATTTATTCACATTATAAAAGTGTAATTTATTTAGTTAATGTTTTTTTTTTTTTTTTTCTTCTGCTCGAGAAAATTCAGGTCCAGGTCTACGTTGTACAGCGTGATATGTCAATACGAGCTATCAATTCAAGCAAAAAACACGAAAGACGTTTACAATTCTCTGTAACGCCGAATTGGAGCGGAGCTCTTGAGGAGGAGGATGGTATAGGATACGGTGGGGAGGGTATGCGCCTTCTCCTTCCCAGCTAAATTTAGTGGGAATATTGGCAATAGGAAGTTGTAGGAGATCGTTTTTCTCTTCTTCTAAGGTATCTGTAATAAAAAAAAAAAATAGCAAAAAAGTGGATAATTGAACAGGGAAAAAAAGATTCTAAAAGGTAATAGGTATAACCGATGAGTATCCCCGAAACGCAGGATATAAAAGGTTGTTATTGTGTTCTATTCTTAGAATTGTCTCGTAAGTCGTGAATTCTAATTTTCTTTACGGTATGTAAATGCTAATTAAATATGATTGGATGGGTTTACACATGTACTCATCAAAGTAGGCGAACTAATATACGCTGTAGGAGGAGGTGGAACTGCAGTAATAGGTACTAATATTGGTATGTTTTGTTATTTTTAGTTATGTGTGCAATAAAAATGCAGAGGCTCCTGTCGCGTCCCACACACAAGCCATCATTGGCTTATGTGGGCTTTATATTGTATTATTTTCAAACAAAGTAAATAAAGATGGTTTTTGTATTGTATTGTATTGTAAAACGCCACAGCTGCGCATGCGCGCCGCCAGCCTTGTCTGCATAGTTCAAGGTCTTGTGGCGGATTACGGAGCGCTATGCGGGTGCTTAGCAGGCTGTGGAAACGGTCTACTAAAACTCCCTAATGTTACATCTGCGTAGACACCACGTGACGTCACGAGTAATGTCATACGTCGCGTGACGTCACACGTGACCTCGCACGTCACGTGTTTCCCATAAGGATGTCAGACGTCGCGTCACGAGGATAACGTATTGACGTTACCCTCGTAATCCTCACGGGGGTTACCCTCACGAGGGTAACGGCGGTGAGGGTGACGCGCGTGAGGGTAACCCTCACGGGGGTTACGTTACTCTCACGGGGGTAAACCTCACGTTACCCTCACGAAGGTAAACCTCACGGGGGTGAGGGTAGCCCTCGTGAGGGCAACCCTCATGAGGGTTACCCTCACGCGCGTGTTACAAAGTTACTTACTTTGCAGCATGTTTGCTACACTAGCAAACATGCTACAAAATGCAGTATTGAAGCACACAGCCCCAAGCGACAATTTTAGAAACTAAAAAAAAAAAAAGAAAAATCTGTTTTGGGATGTGGATAAACGTTGGCTGGAGTCGTGCTTGGAACTGATAAAAAGGGTAGACGCAGATATAGTTATGTAAAAAAAATAATTTATTAGACTTTTTAAATAGGTATACAGGTGAAGTAAAAAATTATCACAGGCGTTAAATTAAAATAAAAACTTCGTATCTTCTTAACTTGATTCTTGCAATGTTGATGGTACGTCGTTGGAAGACGTGTGCTCCACGGAGATGGGGACTGTGTCAGACAGTGGTGTCGTCTCCGCCTTTTTCCTCGGGGCTTCGACTGCCAACAGGCCACGTCCTGTGAGTTGCGACGTCACGGATTCCGGATCGACGTCATCGGGAAGCGTGTACTTGCGTCGAAACTCGCGCATCACGAAGCCACGTCCCTCGGGGTCTTTTTCTTCGTGCCTGGCGTGCACCTCGACGGAGTTTCCGACGGTCTTCACGCTGATCTCCTCGGGGACGAAGCCCCGGACGTTCAGTTTCAGCGCAAAGTTGTCCGGAGTCAGGGACACCTCGGAGGCCGGACACTTTGAACTGGACGCCTTATAAGAGCTGCGGCGATCATCCGGGCACCCAAAGAGTCCAACAGGTACGATGCCGTCGAAGAAAGTGCCGTCGAAGTCGTTGCCGTCAAACATCCGACTTATCATGGAACCGCAGTCGGGGAAGGCACTTCTGTCCATCGGTGTGAAGATCGGAGCCATGGGGAAGACGATCATCTCGATGCCGAAGCGAGGTAGTCGAATGTGGACTGAGTTAGCGCTCTCGAAACACGACTCGATCGAATGCGAGTTGTTTTGTAGCAGACGAGCCCCGCGGAGCGCTTTTTATGTGAGTTTCAAGGAAGCCTCGAACGCCCGTGAATGTTCTAGGCAAGGAGAAGAGAGAAAGGCCGCTTTGTAATGTGATTGGTTGATGGCGATTACGTCACGAGTGGATGAGTAACGCGCGCACTTCGAAACGGGTAGGAGCATCGAGGAACTTCGAGCATATTCTGCTCCACGTCGCGTCAGCGCTGCGCCAACGTTGCGCTGCACGGATCGGTGGCGCCATCTCTCGATACAAGTCCAAAACGAGAAGTTCGACCATAACGGAATGGAAGAAAAACAATCACCAAAACATCTGCCCTGCTGTACCCGTGTTTTGGTGTTTCGTTCTGTAACAAAACAAACCATACGTTACAAATGATATGGACATGGAACCGTGTATCCTAGATTTGAATGAAATATGACATTTGAATGAACCTCCGCACCGACATAAGTTTATTAATACCTCACATATGATTCAATTTATGTTTCATTTGACACTGCGGCTCTGATCATTTTTGATTACTGTTTATATTTTCTCTCTCTCTCTCTCTCTCTTTATAACTCCAACCAAAATAAACTTGTACCCAGATAGACTAAAAGAAAAGCTGCAGTAAAAACAAGCGCAGCTCTCCTGAACCAGAATAGAGCAGACGACGCGGGAAGCTCCCAGAGCTTTCCATATCGAACCGGCCAATGGGCGCTCTCCTAGATATACGTCACGGCGGAAATCGCTGCTGATTCGCCAAATGCGACCTCGGTCTCTCTGGAAGCTTCTGGAAGGGCGAGTGAGTTGTACAAAAGGCGGATCGCGCGCTCGCAGCCGCAATCATTTCGCAGCTAACACAAAGAGCGCGATTTTCAAATTGTGACTTCAGCTGTCAAGCGAAGCAAACTACGCAACCATGCCATCCACAACTAAGAGCGGAGCGCCGGCCATCGGCATCGACTTGGGCACAACGTACTCGTGCGTCGGTGTGTTCCAGCACGGTCGTGTCGAGATCATCGCCAACGACCAGGGCAACCGAACGACGCCGAGTTACGTTGCCTTCACCGACACCGAGCGACTCATCGGAGACGCAGCCAAGGCCCAGACTGCGCTGAACCCGGAGAACACAGTGTTCGATGCAAAAAGGCTCATTGGACGAAAGTTCGATGATCCCAAGATCCAGGATGATATCAAGCACTGGCCCTTCAAGGTGGAGAACGACGCTGGCAAGCCCAAGATCAGCGTGGAGTTCAAAGGAGAGCGGAAGAGGTTTAATCCGGAGGAGATCAGCGCCATGGTGCTGACCAAGATGAAGGAGACTGCGGAGGCCTTCCTGGGTCAGAAGGTCAGCGACGCTGTGGTCACGGTGCCTGCTTACTTCAACGATTCCCAGAGGCAGGCTACGAAAGATGCCGGAGTTATCGCCGGCCTCAATGTGCTCCGGATCATCAACGAGCCAACCGCAGCTGCACTGGCCTACGGACTCGACAAGAACCTCAAGGGAGAGAAGAACGTCCTCATCTTCGATCTGGGAGGAGGGACCTTCGACGTGTCCGTGCTGACCATCGACGAAGGCTCCATGTTCGAAGTCCGATCAACGGCTGGAGACACACATTTGGGAGGTGAAGACTTCGACAACCGGCTTGTGACCTACTTCTGCGAAGAGTTCAAGCGCAAACACCGCAAAGACCTCAGATGCAACGCCCGTGCAGTCCGAAGGCTGAGAACAGCCTGCGAGCGAGCCAAGAGGACTCTTTCCAGCTCTGCCGAGGCAAGCATCGAGATCGACGCTCTGTTTGAAGGCGTGGACTTTTATAGCAAGATCACCAGGGCCCGCTTCGAAGAGCTCTGCATGGACCTGTTCCGAAGCACCCTGGAGCCGGTGGAACGTGCTCTGCAGGACGCCAAGATGGACAAATCGAAGATTCACGACGTCGTCCTTGTTGGTGGCTCGACGCGTATCCCGAAGGTGCAGAAGTTGCTGAGAGACTTCTTCAACGGAAAGGAGCTTTCGATGGGCATCAACCCGGACGAGGCGGTGGCCTACGGCGCTGCAGTGCAGGCTGCTGTTCTCAGTGGAGACGCTAGCGAGGCCATTCGAGACGTGCTCCTCGTGGACGTCGCGCCCTTGTCACTGGGCATCGAGACCGCTGGAGGCGTCATGACTAAAATCGTAGAACGCAATTCCCGGATCCCCTGTAAGACGTCGCAGACGTTCACGACGTACGCGGACAACCAGCCGGCCGTTACGATTCAGGTGTTCGAGGGTGAACGTGCCTTGACCAAGGACAACCATCTGCTGGGAACTTTCAACCTTAGTGGCATACCTCCTGCACCACGGGGTGTACCCAAAATCGAAGTGACCTTCGACATGGACGCCAATGGCATCCTGCATGTCTCGGCCAAGGACCAGAGCACCGGTCGGCAAGAGAGCATCCGCATCAGCAACGACAAGGGCCGTCTGTCCAGGGAGGACATCGACCGTATGCTGGCCGATGCGGAGAAGTACAAGCGCGAGGACGAACTCCAGAGGGAAAAGGTGACCGCCCGGAACGGACTGGAGTCCTACGTGTACGGCGTCAAGCAGGCTGCAGAGGAGGCGGGAGACAGACTTTCTCCCTCGGACAAGCAGAGTGTCCTGGACAAGTGCAAGGACACCATATCCTGGATCGACTCCAACACTCTGGCCGAGAAGGAGGAGTACGAGCATAGGCTGAAGGAGCTGCAGCAGCACTGTTCACCCATCATGAGCAAGCTGCACCAGGGCACGAAGCAGAGTGCGCCTAGTCACGGAGGACCCACGGTTGAAGAAGTGGATTGAATGCCCTGTGTGTGTCCTAGGTCTCTTCCAATGAACAAATGTCTTGTATATATGTATATAATTTTGTACAGTTAGATATTTAATAAATTGAACTTGAGAATCTTTGAAACGGTTTTCTTGTGTTTAAGCTCGGTTGATGAATGCCCATACAATATACAAAAGAAACGGTGTCTGCTGCAGGCACTGTGATATAAGTATAAGTAGACAAGCCTCACGGATGCATGTTGGCTTCATGTATGCTTCCACCATGTCTGCAGGCAGGTTTTGTACGGTCAATGCTAAAGAACCGTCACAAGGAAGCCCCAGACAGTGTCTGTGGACATTGAGGCATGTTGCACAGCGTAATAAAACGTATACCGGGTCGTGTTTAAAGGGAAACTCTGCCAAGTTTTTGATAGTCTTCGATTTGGCTGGAAATTGGTAGACCGCATCAATAACCCTTATTCAACTAATAGCCGAAATATTTGATAAAAATGGAAAATTTCCGTGGTTATTGAATTTTTGAGGTTACGCGGGCCGCGAGGTTTCCAGCTGGCGACTCTCTGCGGGCAACAATAAAAAATCCGTACTTTTCCCTACCACAGTACGTCACCGGCGGGCAGGAGAATGGGCGCCTCCTGGCACACAGACTGCCGCTTCGTTGCTGACCGGGTCGGTCGTAACGAAGCGGCATTCTGTGCGCCATCGATCGAGATCATGTCTTCACAGCCTCAAGGTTGAAAGTTACGTTTCAATGGGTAGCAAACTGTGCTCTGCGGTAGATTGTAAGAGCAATAGGAAAAAGCGTCTTTTTTTTTTTTTTTTACGCTTGTTTAAGTGGGAGGGAAAAAAAAAAAAAGAAGCTCTCTTTCGCAACAACTGAGGCCAGGTGATTTTACGCGAACTGAGTGCCGAGATAACATGCATGAAAGATTCTCGCTTATGCTCGGAATCAATGTCGTCACTATAGGGTCAGTGGCACCCAGTGGCGGATCCAAAGGGGGGGGGGGGGGGGGGCGGTGGGGGCGATCCCCCCCCCCCCCCCCCCCCCCCCCGAACGCCTCGCCAGGCAACCACCCCCCCCCCCCCCCCCCCCGGTGTTCTTCGTCAGCTCGAAGAGAAAACGTAAGCAATCGACGGGAGGGACAAAAGATTAAAACAGCGGTGGGTGGACGCGCCTGCTGGGCGCTTCCAAAGTGGGGTTTATCTCCGTCAAGGTCACGGTAGGTCTTCCCGATAGGGACGGCGCCAGGAGTTTCGAAGTGGAGAGTCAGTGGGGAGGCGCACCAAATATCAGGGTCATCGACTGCAGGCACACTTCCAAACAAGGCCAGCACGTCGAGCACGGGGGGAAAATACCTTCAACATATCTAGTCCCCTTTCTCTCTCTCTGTCTCCCTCTCTATCTTTGGAGGTTGTCTGCGAAAAATGTGTGCTCTGAAAGCTCCCAAACGCATACGCCAAGCAGCCTTCCTCAAGGGTACGATCCTATACACCAACTCATGTTTACAAACAAACCGGAGCGCCCCTGGCGGACGCCACCGGCGCCGCGCATGCGCGATGGGGGTGTGGGCAAAAAGCTCACCGTCGCCCATAAACAAACCATTGGAATGTGATGTTGTCGGCGTCGGTGTGAGTCCCCTTGCCCTTTTTCGCGTTCGAATTGTTGATTCTACGTCTTCCTGGCGATGTCTGACTACTTGAGAGGCGTCAGCGAAATTACCGAGGCTCGTTACACCGCAAAGCTTCGCGTGAATAATCTGACATGTGACGCCTCATTCCGCGTGGACGCCGCAGTATGTACGCTAAAGCCTGATTCGCATGATGCGATTTCGCTCGCAATTTTCAGTCACGACGCCGCTCGGGCTGCAAAAGCGTGAACCGTAGCTGAGATAGTCGACGTCGATACTGAAAATCGCAAGCAGAATCGGACCAAGTGAATTAGGGTTAACAAGTCGGTGATGGTCACTGGTAACAATGATTAACACCTTTTTTATCTACTGTTTACATCGAGCCTGCTTACCAGCCTTCGAATTTAAGTCTTTTGAGGCCTGCACTTACTTCTTATCGCAAGTACCGAGCCACGATTTGGTCTACGGACCGGCGTCGTCTAAGAGAGCAGACGACAAGCAGAAACGCTTGAAAGAGCAGACGACAGTTCGAACGATCAGGCAACCGTTTGAACTTGAAGGCGCACTGAACGTAGTCCGCAGGTGGTCCGCACAAATTGACGGTTTTCTGGCGTTCATGTTGGAACAAAACAAGTAAATCTGATGACAACAAGTATCCGTGAAGTCAACCCGAAGTGCTTCCAGCCCAAACAATCGTGGTCCGACGGCGTCTGCTTTTCCCTTTTCACGGCACATATCCAGATTCTCGGACGAACCAAGCACGTGAAAACTGACCTTCAAACCTTTCTCGACACTTTTGGCACGGCCCCAGTCGCGGCGTTTTGACAAGAAGGCAGGTTTTTGTCTGGTTCCTTTCAAAACAACGCAGGAATACACGTCTGGCATGGGGACCTCTGCCCACAGC